GTGTGTGTGTGTGTGTGTGTGTGTCCAGATCCCAGAGTTTGGGCAAAGCCAGCCAGTGCGTTTAATTTTCTTAGGGCAGCAAATCTGATGCTGGAAGCCAGATCCAGCTGTCTGCCTTCTCTGCTGTCCCAGGAAAACAGTCACCTCGCAGGAATGGCCTCAGTTCTCTTCTCCAAACAGCGGTGCAGCAGGCCACACACACACACACCCAGACTCTCTCACAACATAGACACGGGCACATGTACACACAGGTGCACACACAAGCACACACAAGACATACACAGGCACACGTACACACAAAGCACACGAATGGATACCCAGGAAAGGGATCTCCAGAGAGGCCCTTGACGTGCTACTCAAAAGTGTCCAGATAGGAGTAAACACCTTACTCGCTGCCCAGGACTCTGTGATTCCAGCCCAGCTCCATCACTTTTCCCACTATATGACCTTGGGCAAGTCCCTTCTCCTGTCTGGGTTTCAGGCTCACGCCCACACAATCAGGGGTTAGCCGAAATGATCTCAAGCATCCCTCCTAGTCCTGGCATGCTCTCAGACCACCTTCCCCCAAAGCCCATTGGGATGCCTCCAGACCTCCATCCTTCCCATTCCTTCTCCTCTCTCTGGTCCCCCTCCTTGCCTTGGCTGAGCTCCCAGGGGCTCATTGCCACATGGCATAGCCCATGACAAGATGGCAGTGTTTTCCTGGGAGTCCACAGAAGTTGAGGGAGTAAAAGGCAGGACTGGACATTATTCCTGCAGTCTATCCACTTGGGACTGTGTCCCAAGGCTCCACTCCTCTCTGGGGTCCATGGGGAACTCTGCTATATAGTCTCTGCATCCCCCTCCTGGAGTGGATAGGGGTACCTCTGAGTCCTGCTGACAAGGCAGAATAGTCGGACTCAGATCTGCCCCAAAAGAAGCCTCCCCTCCCCACTTCCCTGCTACCTGCCAAGGTTTCAGGAGCAGTGAACAAGCAAGTTAGGCCTTCCCCCCATCTCTTCCCCCATGTGGTACCTCTGATTATGTGTCCCCTTTCTTAGTCCTGTGGTCCCTAGGTCCACAAGTAACTTCCCAACTGACTTTGCCTGCAGCTTCGTTCTCCCATGGGGCGAGCGCCCCTGGACAATGCCGCCAGAAAGAGTCTCCCCAAAGTGCAGCTCTGACCATACCAATACCCTCTCAGAGCCCTCAGTGACTTCCAGCTGCCCGTGGAATCTGGCCCATGCTCTTTATCCCAAATTTTAAGGACCTTCATACCTGGCACCAACTCTATGTCCGACTTCATTTCTCACTTCTTACTGGCATGATCCCTCCACTGCAGCCATGCGGTCTGTCTCCTGAGAACACCTTAAGCGTGCCTGTCTGGCACACCTTTCTCTCGGTCTTCTATTTACCTTGTCCAAGCTAATCTTGCAAGTCAAGCTCAGATCCCACTTCCTCCTTGAAGTCTTCCAGACCATCTCAGGCCACCACTCTAGACAGCTACAGGACTTACTGTCACGACACCCTGGGTGACACAGTGTGGGCTCTCTTGCCCCGTGTGGGCATGGTTATTTACATTTTAGGGGATGTGTTTTGTCTCTTTGACCACATACTGAATTGACCTCCACGTGGGCAGGGCCCTGTGGTTCCCATCTCTGTTCTCCCAGTGCCGCCAGCACAGTACCCTGCCCCACGCGTGAGCACTCAGAGAATGCTATCCATGGGCTTAAGGTGTGCAGAAATGAAAGAGTGTCCTCCTTCCCCTCTATCCCTGCCATTTCCCAAAGTGCCTGTAGTCCTTACCAAGAGAGATGCTAAAAGCTGGGGGTAGAGGCAGACAGAGTGCAGTTCTGGTGATATTTGTTGATATAGTGCTGGGCAAGAGGAAAGACAGCATCAAAGCACCACCCTAGTTCTGTGGGGGCCCCAGAAAGGCACTGCCCACTTCCTGCCCCACCCAGCCATCCCTGGCTTTTTGTCACCTCTCTCTCTGGCTACGCCATCTGGCTGGAAACAGTCCACAGGGGCCCTGCTCTAAGAAAAGCCTGTCTGGGCTGTGATCAGATGGCTGGAATGGGCCCTATATTAAGCTGATCTTGACCCAAAACTCAAAGGCAACAGCCTCTGTCCACCTGATCCCTCTGGAGACCCACATAGGTCTCTCAAGGCACCAGGACTCACACTGGGATAGAAAAATGACAGAACCTGCCACTTAGTGATCACACTGCACTCCCATCTCACCTCTTGAATCTCAGCCTTCACCACTCAGGAAAGTTGCCAGGGCAGGCATCGTTAGCTCCGTGGCATAGATGAAGACATGGAAGGGAAAGTAGGGGAAGGGACTCCCCCAAAGCCACGCAGCTGGTGAGCAGCAGAGTTAGAGCAAGAGGCTAGGTCTTCTGACTCCAAGCCCAGTGCTCTTTCCCTGCCGGTCTCTTGGCTGCTTCTTCTGCTTCCATATGCTGTGAAGCCCGGAGCCAGCTGAAATTGGCATGGCCAAGACGTGCTCAGTGATGCCAGCTTGCAGGGCGCTCCTGGGCAGCCCTGATTGGTCGAGGGTCGGCAGGGTCTGAGTTAGTCATTCACCTGGTTAGTCACAGTCTCCATGAGCTGCAAGGATTCCTCCAGCTCCCTCGTCCCTGGCCTCCCAGCCAGGAAACCCTTCCTTTGTTGTGCCCTAAGTTCATCAAACGCAAATGGAAACTCTTTTCTGGGAAAGCTTAACCTCTCTAGCTGTTGAGTCATTAAACTCCTCCGGGGCCCCAGCCCCATCTATTCATAGCCCAGAGGCTGTCAGAGCTGGAAGGGGACTCAAGATCAGCTCGTGCCACCCCCTCCTCTTACAGATAAGGAACCAGAGAGGTGACAGGAGTCACACAGCCAGAAGTTAGCAAAACCTGACTCCCCGGTCTCTGCTCCTTCCACTTGTTCAGGATGACTCTTTACTTATTATTATGACTAGGAGCGGTAACAGCAACAATAATAATAGCGGCCACGATTTCTTGTCTACTCTTTGTCGGGCTCTATACCCTCTCGTTGGATTCTCTCACCAATCCCTCCAGAGGAGCATTATATGACCCCCGCTTTTCAGCAGAGGAACCCAGGGCTCTGTGTGTAGATGACTCACCCATGGCCTTGTGACTTGAAAGTATGGCACCTGCCCAGATTCAGCTGGGCCTCTTTGACTCCCAGGCCCTGGGTTTTCCGCCAGTTCTTTCTCAACTTCGAGAACCCAGTCCAGACCCTTAGATCTTGAGGGCACCGAGGCGACAAGGCTTGTCTTCTCCCCTGGCAAATCCCTTCCCAGGCGAGTGCCTCTCACTCCAGCGCCCCGCAGCCAGCCTGCTGCTCCCTGCACCCCGGCCGCTGACCAACCCAGACCACGTGGCAGAGCGGTGCCCGGCACCGGGCCCCAGCTGAGACTGCCGCGGGCTCACAGGTGCTGTGCTCCCACGTGGGCCCCTGTAATCCTCGGGGCTCTAAGGCAACGAGAGGCCAGGTGATTGATTAGCTGATGGAGCTGGGGCAGAAAACCTTCTGTTCTGCTCTCTCCTCAGCTTCCGGCCTGTTCTCAGCTGAGCACAGGCTCCCATCACCCACCACGTGGCCTGGGAGTCCTTAGATTGTGAACTCAAGCAGGCAGCTCATGAAGGAACCTGTACTTTTTACATCTTTCCAAGAAGGAGGAAAGTACAGAAGTGACCTGCCACCCTCTACATCCCAGAGTCCTCCGATAAAAGAGTGAAAGGAGACATCAGCAGTCATCCAAACACCCAGAGAGGTGCAGGTACAACCCTGATTAGAATCGAGGTCTTTGGGAGCCCCCACTGGAGTTCCCTCCATCACCCCAGCCTATTCCCCTCACGACCCACCATCTCTCTTAGCACGGAGACCTCTGGTTGCTTATCACTCCACTGTTCCCAGGCCTCTGTTGGCTTGCCGGGGTGGGGTGGAGGGGCAGCCCAGCCTGGACTGGTCCTACCACCCACTTTCAATCGGCAATTCCCTCCTCCCTGCCCACAGGCCACCCCTCTGCCTTTTCTGTGGCGGTGTAGGAAGGTGGGCCAGAGCACCTGGGTTCGTTTCTCGACCCACCTCTCCACTCACCTCCCCACCCCCCACCACTAGTTATGTGATCTTGAGCAAGTTACTTAGTCTCTCTGAGCCTGTTTTGTCATTTACAAAATGGGGAGAAGAATATCTGCCTCCCGGGATTAAAAGGATAATATAAAGGAATGCCTGGTACAGAGCAGGTACTTAATAAGCAATATCTGCAATGATTAGTGTAATTAACATTATTTTTCATGTATGATTACTAATACTCCCCACACAGAAGGGAACTGCTTGGTTTCCCAAGGATTACCAAGACCACAGCCACCTCTG